CAGCACATATTGAACTTCTTTGGAGAGGATGGGTTGCTGCGTGAGCCTTTGTGGAGATGTTTTTCACTGATGGCCTGGGTAAAATAATTGCAGTACAGATGACTTGGTCATAGCGTGCAAACCTGCTCTCACAAAGTCTGGAAAGAGTGGGTGGTCAAAGTGGCGCAAAGAAAAGCGAGCAGAGAGGAAAGTTATCAAGAAAGAGCAGTGAAGCTTGCACTCCATGTGTGCCGGAAACCAACAGAACCATAAGGACATTGGCAGTTGGAGTGTTGCCGCTGGGCTTCAGGCCGCGCCCTTAGACGCAGTACGCAAGTATCTGGAAGAGGCCGATATTGACAGCCAGTGACGCAGGGGGACTTCAGGTTCATGAAAAAGAGATGGAAGTCTGTAGTCAGGATAGTCTTTGATGTGAACCTGCAGAAAAACAGAGCAGTTGCTGCGCTGCCGTCGAAACCCAAGATCTGTTGTCTCAAGCGACTTCAAAAAAGCACGGCTTTTCTGTGCTCGCTTGCCGTATATGGAAGCCAAATTCTCTACGCTTTGAAGAGTTGGACTGGGTCCATATCTTCATCGACTGCCCCCCTGTGCGACTGCTTGACTGATATGCTGTCCAGCCAGGAATGAACCACCTTGAAAGAGATATCCAAAGAGAACGAACCTAGGTTGATTGGATGCTAGCGGAAGCGACCAGACCAAATCTTTGCTAGCCGAAACTGATTGAGGCATACATACAAGTTTAGTAAGTGTTTATTGTATTCCGACACATGCATGTACACCTCAAAACATTCGAGTTTAGTGATATATTCTGATCTCACTTCTGATCTCATGTCATTGATTAATTAGGCTTCAGCTTGGATATGTCGTCCAACAAACATTGTGTGTGATGAGTTGATGTTTATTAGAAAGTCAAGAAGCGAAAGGGTGCTCCAAAGCTTCATTTGTGGGCAGGTGCTTCTGAAATTTCCGCAAAACCACAATCCAAGATTGCATTGCAAGGCTAGATCTGCTAGTTTCGTCATCCGTGCAGGCAAACTCGGTCATTGGACCTGATCTAGCGCAAGAAAGTCCAATTGTGTTTGAAGCCATGGATTGGTTGACCAGTTTTGGAAATCTCCTGTACTTGTTGGCTGCAGAACAGCTCATATCAACCTCCCCCACCTAACACTCAGCGCTTCTCAAATGGACACGCTTCAATGTCGCCATTGTAGGCTTCGTCCACTTGCAAGCAACCAGTCACAGGACCACTGGTGGGCGACACAGCGGCAAACTCCTCAACATATTGCCGCACTGCCAGTTTCAACTTGTTGAAATGCGGACGCCTCCAAAAAATGTGACCACGAGAAAAGCCGCTGATCAAGCTGAAGTGCGAAGAGCTCACGATTGACCCCTGAACCTGGAAGCCGCACAAAAAGTTGCAAATCTGTTTGTTTGAGGAAGTCGCTTTCTTTTGCGTCTGCTTTCAATTTCAATTTTTGATTCTTCAATGCAACTGCTTCTAGCTTCCTCTGCTTGTGAGTACTGAGGAAACACTTGCATCTGCCATAGGCTTTCTGACACTGTGATTGAATTTACTGGTGGATGACGCAGACGCCTTGTGGGGGTCAGATCTTGTCCTTCGTTTGCGGGTTAACTATCAACCCACACTTGGAGATGTTTCAGAAAAGATTTGGATTGATTGTTGAGTTGAGGGTGTTTTTGATAATGTCGGCGTGAGTGAGACAATTGAGTCATTAGCTGGAACCGCCCAATGAGAGACTTTAAACTAAACTTTAAGGGGAAGGTATGCCCGCCTTTGCTAGTGCTATCACCAAGTGCGGACCGACTGCGGTACGCCCTCCAGAATCATCCGGGCGATGGAAAGAATGATCATGAAAACAGCGACCGAGCGGGTCCATCCGACAGAGACAGAGACGGATTCAGCAAGCGCCAACCTGAAGTTGTTCCAGCGCACATTGAACTTCTTTGGAGAGGATGGGTTGCTTCGTGAGCCTTTGTGGAGGACTTTTCAACAACTTTTTTCTGCGGCTTTCAAGTTCAGGGGTCAATCGTGAGCTCTTCGCATTCAAGCTTGACGGCAAAATTTTCTTGTTGTCACATTTCTTGCAGGCGTCCACAAACAAGTTGAAACTGGCAGTGTGGCAATACGCTGAGGAGTTTGCCGTTGTGCCGCCCACCAGTGGTCCTGTGACTGGTTGCTTGCCACTGGACGAAGCCTACCACCGTGAGCTTAAGGAAATGCACATGGGTGTTCGCCTGGCATTGAAGTGTGTCCATTCGAAAAGCGCTGAATGTTAGGTGGGGGAGGTTGATATGAGCTGTGCTGATGCCAACAAGTACAGGAGATTTCCAAAACTGGTCAACCAATCCATGGCTTCAAACACAATTGAACTTTCTTGCGCTAGAACAGGTCCAATGACCGAGTTTGCCTGCACGGATGACGAAACTAGCAGATCTAGCCTTGCAATGCAATCTTGGATTGTGGTTTTGCAGAAATTTCAGAAGCACCTGCCCCAGGAAAGTGGGCAAATGAAGCTTTGGAGCACCCTTTCGCTTCTTGACTTTCTAATAAACATCAAATCATCACACACAATGTTTGTTGGACTACATATCCAAGCTGAAGCCTAATTAATCAATGACATGAGATCATAATATATCACTAAACTCGAATGTTTTGAGGTGTACATGCATGTGTCGGAAGTTTACTAAACTTCTATGTATGCCTCAATCAGTTTCGGCTAGCAAAGATTTGGTCTGGTCGCTTCCGCTAGCATCCAATCAACCTAGGTTCGTTCTGATTGGATATCTCTTTCCGTGGTTCGTTCTCTTTGGATATCTCTTTCACGGTGGTTCATTCCGGGCTGGACAGCATATCAGTCAAGCAGTCACAAAGGGGTCAGCCGATGAATATATGGACCCAGCCCAGCTCTTCAAAGCGTAAAGGAATGGGCTTGCGTATGCAGCAAGTGAGCACACAAGAGGGGCTCCGTTTCTGCGCAGGTTCACAAACAAATCAAGGACTATCCTGGCTACAGACTCCAGACTTCCAGTGTTTTTCACGAACGTTGCTGAGCCATGCAAACCATGCATAGCCTTCGCAGCGTCCTTCGTTGAAACGAATTTCGGAGACAACAGATCTTGGGTTTCGACGCTGTTTTTCTGCAGGTTCACAAACAAATCAAAGACTATCCTGACTACAGACTTCCATCTCTTTTTCATGAACGTTGCCGAGCCACGCATAGCCTTCGTAGTGTCCTTCATTGAAGCAAATTTAAGGTTTAATACTGCACTGTGGCGCAGCTTTTCAGGGACTTGCAAGGCATTGCAAGGTGCAGGCACCGCTCCGAGATTTCAAGCGAGAGCTGAGTTCTTGCTGGGTCACGCGCACCTCTGTTCACTCGTTATAGGCCCCGAATCATTTAGCTTTCGTGTGGCTGTCGCGTCATCGAGAGCTTGAGGCCTAGTGCGTGCGTAATATGGATGTTGTCTCTGCTGCTTTCCAAAACGGTGGTTGCTACAGCATTCCTGCTCCACGCGCGATGAAGAAGGCTAGGAACTGATGGCAACGCAAAGATTTGTAGCCGCTTGCGTCGCAACATTGATGGTGGATGGAGCTTGGATGTGCAAAATCCTGAAGTCCCCCTGCGTCACTGGCTGTCAATATCGGCCTCTTCCAGGCCACAAGTTTTGCAGACTACATGTGGATGACGCAGGCGCCTTGCGGGGGTCAGATCTTATCCTTCGTTTGTGGGTTATATCAACAGGACATAAATCAAGCAGCTTGCATTCTTGCCTCAACCTGCAAGCGAGCGCGTCGCGCTCTAAATTTTTTGCGTTTCGAGCGTGCAATGATGAGTATCCTGCGCTTCTTGCAAGCGTTCAGCAAGTTGCCCGTTCAAGACGATTCGTTTGCCAGACCATCACAGGCCGAATGCTTTCGCTGCTCAACGGTGATGTGCCAGACTGGCTTCGCGTTCAGCACGCCCAGAATTTGCCGAGCCTCAAGTCAAAGAATGTGGGTTCACGCCCCGCCTTGGGGAACTCGCCTCATTCAGTCAGGTGGAGCAGAAGGCAATGGCTGCAGTTCGGGAATGCCAAATCATCGCAGCTGCAAGCTTCCTTTTCTTCCCTGCTGAACTCGCACAGTTTCAGGCATTCAGAAAGGCCTTTGAGTCAGAGATGAACGCGCAGGAGCGTGCATCGTTTGCCCTAGCCCTATACAGATAACTTGCCCCATGTGTTCTACGATTGCGCGTGCGCGCATCACTTCATCCACACTGGCCACCAGAACCGGGAAATTGGCAGTTGAACCGGCCAACCGGGAGACCGCCGGTTCAGCCGGCCAACCGACAACCGCCGGTTGAACCTTTAAGGTTTCCCGGTTCAACCGGCCAAGCAATCAACCAACCGGGGGCCACCAGCAGCCGGAGACACACGGAGCCGACGGGAACTCCACACTCTGCCTTGGGATAGAATATACTGAAGAATTGAAGAACCATTATTTTACTATCACGACTTTAATGGCTTATATGTTTCTATACATTTTTCTACTTCAAAGCCAGCTTAACCAGTTTAAAATGGTGATTGAAGGTCAGGTGAAATAGTAAAAACAAAGTGGAACACCACTAGGCTGAACTCTGGTGTGACTCTGAGTCCAAGTGTATGATTTATGTTTGGGGAAATTCCGATTTGGATGAGTTGTGGCCAATTATATGTCACCATGCGCACCAGGTTTCACGAGTGAGACGTCACTGGTTGTACCAGGCACACAGGCTTAGATACACAAAAGTTGGTTCCCAATGCAAGTGAAAGCAAAGTTATACTTGATGTAGCTGTAGATGTGTCACCAAGAAGTGGATCACTATACATAGGTGAAGAGAATTGCATTCATTTTGCATGCATGCCGAAAGCTGTGGTGCCACTTGACCAGACCCCCACACACCGAAAAATAACGGCCGCATGGTGGTGGCACATCCCGTTCGTGCACCGGGTCGTGGCAGGTGGCATCTTGAAGGCTCTTTTGACACAAGGAGGTGTCGGAAAGCAGAAAGAATGGTGGGCCATCCTGGAGGCTGAGGACCGTTGTATCCAGGGGGTTCCTGTATGGACCCGTGTCAGTTGCGGAAGCACCGTTTTTTTTGGGTCTTGCAAAAAATGACGTGCTCGCACCAAGCCAGGTATGCGGGAACTTCGGGTCATTTCCAGTGATTCCCACCCGCCACTAGGGGGTAGCTATTGACCCACGGCCGTGGACCACGGGTGCTAGGACGGACAGACGCCTTTGAGCGTGGCACAGCTGCCCATGCGACTGCTGCTGAGACCTCACTGTTTGGATGTGTGGTCGGGGCCTCGGTGGGTTCTTGCCGCCGTTTCATTGGGTACCTCCTAGTAGCGTCCTTGCCTTGCTCCTAGTAATAAGGCCAGGAGCCCCTAGTAGCGTCCTTGTTACTAGTAGCGATGCCAGGAGCCCCTAGTAGCGTCCTTCCTCAAGGCACATGTCAGTGCCGCTTTTGGTATAAAGTATCTCAAATCTCAGAGTTCTTGTCGCATGTTTCACACGATCGCCTACGTAGCTAATCATTACAAGTTACAAGTTGTTTGTGTTTTGTTTTGTGTGTTTTTTCTTTGGCTCGTGAAGGCTAATTATTCAAGACTTGCGTGTTTTTCGCCACACCAGAGCCCCTGACTGATTGAAAAACTTGAAGAATGACATCCTATAGACTCCTGTTCACTTCCCGTCTCCTCCCTACACACCGGCTGCACAAAAACACCACCGAGTCTGCCCCTGGATGCCACAAGGTCCACCCTGCTGCGCCACTGGACGGCTCCTAACCTGGACACCTCGCTCCGCACGGTCCTCGAACAGAAGGGCGACCCAAGCTGCGCCAGCGGGGCCGGTTGGACGCCGTTGATCCTTTGCGCCATGGCAGACAGGCGGGCAGTTGGACGTCGCGTCGCGTACTGTCGTGTGCGGCACCAGAGGCTCGTGCCGTTGATTTGTCATGTTCATTTTTCGGGAACCCGCCGTTGGGGTGGTATTCTTGTGGGTGGAGTTGAAAACATGTTGGGTGAACTCACATACCGCATCACGTGCCCCATGTTGGTGTGTGTCTTGCAAAACCAGGACGCAGGGCCCCGCGATCAGAGTTTTCTAGACCTTCGACGTTGAACGAGGTTCAAGCTTGGTTCAGGTCTTGACATGTCGCTTGGTTCAGGTCTCCATCGATATAGGTCTCCTGGTGCCATGACCCACGGGCTTTTGGTGTCGCCATACTGGCATCATTCACCAGGTACTTGTCGCCGTTGCGTGGAATCTGTCGCCAGGGGAGATCTTTGTCAGCTGCTCCTCCAGTTTGGCGCCGATCCTTTCCAGGCGCCGACCTGATCAACGATCCGCCCCACCCGTTTTCCGAGCGTAGGGAGACGAGTCAAGGAGGAGCGTGTCAATTAAGTCGATGGTCATTAGGGGGGATCCTCGTTGGCGTTGAAGAGGCGCTACTAGTACTAGGAGCAAGGACGCTAGTAGGGGCTCCTGGCCTTACTACTAGGAGCAAGGACGCTACTACAAGAGGATATGTATTCGGTTCCAAACGAAACCTCAAGCTTCTGTCGGACTCCAAGAGGACGTCTTCAGAGGGCATTCGAGTCATCCTATAGTCATCATAGCAAGCTGAAGACAAATGCAGAAGACCCTTCAGCTTATGTACAAGTCGCGATCTCCTTCCGGACTTGCCGTGTGCCTGCGCCGGCATGGCAGATGCTGCAACCTCTAGTCTTGCTTGAGCAAAAACATCAAAGAACCACCTAGCTGAGCTGCTTCTTCAAAGTGACTCAACTTGTTCCCCCAGGGTGGAGGTCAAAGCAAGCGTTTGCTCCCACGCAGTCAGTCTATCATCCCGTCTCGGTCGCGAGGCGGGTCCTCGTGGCCGCAGTGCTCTTCTTTGGGCCGACTGGTCGGGGGGCCTCGATTGGCCGACCGGCGTCGATTGGCCACGCGGAACAAAGCGAAAGAGATCCGAACCACGGCATCAAGGTCGGATGGAGGAGTGAAAGAGGTACCCAGCTCGTTCCTTTCTTTTGGGGGGATGTTCAGCGCCACACGCGGACCAAAAACAGGACAGCACCTCAATGCTTGGCCTTCTTGGCGCTGGAATTCTTTCATTCCTGAACTCTAGGGCCTACTCTTTAAAGACCTGGTTTTCCCAAGCAAAAACGGTGTCTGTAATGTACAAAGATGTTCATGGGTTGGAGAGCCACTGGACTGAAGGGAAGGATATGCATGGATATATGTACAGAGGGAGTTGGCAAAGATCACAGCCTGGTGGACGTTGCATGCCTCCCAGACAAAACCATGCAGAAGCATCACCAGGATGCCGCCGAACTTAGATGTTGTTTGAATGTCACCATCAAACAGTTTGTGCAAACAGTCTGACAAAGATCGCAGTCATGATTGATGATCTTGGTATGAAACTCCTACACAACTGGATCAGAAATGATCAGAATCTCCAGCCCTATCATGTTTTTTTGAATGGCCCCTCAGGTCCGGATTCCGCATCGGGCCGCCATTTCTCCAGGTATCAAGCCTCAAAAGCCTTGGCTGTCCTGAAGGAGCAGTCTTCGTGGTTGTTCTTTTCTTGAAAAGTGGATGGCATCCTGCAGTAAAGGGGATCACCAAAACCTTTTTGGGAGTGGGGGCACCCCGCCACTAAACCAAACAAGAACAGGTAGACAAAGGTGGACCAAGGGAGAGGTTTTCTGGAGGCGTACATCGCGGCGGCCCTCAAGCTCTGGAGTACGGGTGGATTTCTGTGATTTGTTTGGAACTCGGTGAGTCCCCAAATTCTTGGCAAAGATGTCTGAATGGTTTCCCGCGAGCCGCAATTCCAAAGAAACTTGGACTGGAAGAAACCAGCAAATGCGCTGCAAACTGTTTCTTGAAAGAAGTCACCTGGCAATGGTGGGGATCAGTTTTAGGTTCAGAAGAGAGGAGATGTTGCAAAGTGAACATGCAGCAGCACCATGGCACTGGGTTGGCCGGCAGTCGGACCCTAATTCGAGGAAATGTGATCCATGAATTATAGGGATCGATATGGGCTTGCAGCAAGATCGATGACCTCCCAACCACTATTGACTCATTGGTTTTGGAATGAGCTGGAATGGCTACATTACCGGGGACGAGCAATTGAGTCCGTTCCCTTTCTTGCAATGTATCATGCTGTATTTTGAATGGATTTGATATCCCATAATCAGGTATCGGTATGTGTGGTACAGAAAAATTGCTCCATCAAAAGTAATTACACTCCCTGGAATTATCATGGAAGTCGAACACGACCTGTTGGATGACCATTGTCCTCTACAAGTATATCGGTCGTTTCCCACTTTCTGCTTCCAGGGAGGGAGTGTATCACGAAGAGTCAAAGACCCTCTATCGGTCGTTTCCAACAAGGCAAACTACTAGCGTGGCACTTGTTACTGCTTGCTTCTTGTTACTACTAGTAAGGCACCTGTTACTACTAGCGTGGCACTTGTTACTACTTGCAAACCCCTCTCCATCACAAGAACAGCTTCTCCACTTTTCGTTGTTTTCACATGCTCGTAGGCTGAGAAGCGTGAGAAGCGGGATGACCGGGAAGGTCTCAAAAGGCTGCAGCAAGGATTGAAGGACGTGGGGCCACACGGGCGAAAAGAAGGATTTCTTTCGCAGGGAACGAGTTGTTTATTGTTTTTCGCGCGGAAGGGTGTGGAAGGATGTGGTGGAAGAGTTGCCGGTACCGCGAATGTGGGTTAGTGGGTTGCGGAAGGGACGGTGCTGTGGGCAGTTCGGAGCGTTTCACTTGCTGTTGATGAGACGAATTTGGTGGAACAGCCTTACAGAAAGGAAGGTATAGTCTTCCAGTTGCAGGTGTCCATGCCATCCACTTCCATCTTCGTTGAGCAGAGGTAGATAGAGGGTTCCGCAAAAACTATGCCACTTTCAAATGACTGCCTGGTTCTTCCGTTACCCGACCAAGTCTCCCTGGATCGAAAATTGGAAGGTCACTGAAGATAGGCTGGCATCTTAAGATTGGCTGGGACGTTTTAGTTCGGTCACCTGGGAGTCTCAGGAGTTGCATGGGAAGTCTCTGGAGTCGTCGGTCCACCAGTCGGTTGAAGCTGGGACACCCAAAACGGCGACATCGAAGCCGGAGCAGTCCACTGCGTGGTGCTCAAATAGTATGGAACATGAGGGAAGGAATACGTAGCATTCTTGCACTTCCTGTAATGGCCATGGAGTGAAAACCACCTGTTTGTAGAGGAAACATGGTCATCCAAGGGGTCTATTTTCTGCTGTTCTAGTTCCATATAGTTCCATGATTGTTTCAAGGAATGACAACTGAAGTTTCTGAACTGATCCAGCAACTCACCAACAGTCACCACCAGTCACGCCCAACAGAACCGACCGAAGCAATTCAGCTAGCCAGGATGAGCTGGCCTCGCCCATTGTGACGCCCTTGCCTGCGGACGAGTTGGTGGCAGCCATGAACTTCCCAGGCGATGCATTCGGTCGGCATGGTGAGGTGGCAGGTGTTTCGACTCAAAGAATGTCACACAAATCACACACCATCCCACACTCATAAAAAAACAAGGAGCGAATGGAATTGTCGCTTAATGATACTTTATGTATATTATACCAATAATTCCAACAACGCTTTGCAGACGAACATGGAGCCTGAATACCACTGACTATGACGCCAGATCTCTTCGAGGCCTTTCCTTTGCTGAGTTGGTGGAACATCAGCTGCAGCGGCAAGCGGAGGTTTGGGAGACCTCCACCAGCTCGGGGCCGAGCAACTGGGCATCAAGTGATTGGAGGGAACAAAGGCCGGGGGAGCTGGATCTCACACCCCGATCAGCAGGCAGGGCCCTGAGGTGGAAATGGAGGGGGTATGTTTCTTCCCCTGGCTGGAGGCCACCGCTAGTAGGTTGGAAGTCATCGCTTCTAGGTTGGGGATGTGTGGGTTGATGTGGGTTGGATGATTTTTGCCGTTACATTACATCCTACAGAAGCCTGCCCCTTCCTCCAACGTGTCACTCAGCATCACAGCATCCTTTCCAGTGCATCATACATGTTGTCCCAGCACTTGGTGTGCCAGACAGCTCTTTGACGTTCATGGGTGCGATTCTATCGCCAAAAACATAGCCTATCATAGCCTTGTTCAGTAGTTGATTGTTTTACGTGGCAGGAGCAGCAACGACCAAGCAGAGAGGCTTGATGCCAGTTGAGACTGTGACGTGAAGAGACACTCAAAGCGAAATCGTTCGTTCTGTGCTATAGGCTATATACATAATACCTTAATTGGCCTCAGACCAACCCAACTGGAAGCCTTGACCATCCCCAAGTGATAAGAAACAGGGAATGCCCTGCGAAAGTTGTAAGTCTTTTTGCGATTGACTTGGGGATCGGACGCATGTCAAGTTTGCCACATGCCGGGAAGGCCGTTCTGGAGTGACAGTGCACGTCGGAGTTTCGGTTTCGTGATCTAACAAAAGGAATCATGTTCCCTCCCGTTCCACCGCAAAGAACCGCAATTGTTTGTAGTAGAAACAATAAGCTACTAGGAACAAGTGCATCGCTACTAGTAACAAGTGCCTTACTAGTAGTAACAAGAAGCGAACGTAGAAACAATAAGCTACTAGTAACCGATGCCGGTGGTCCAGCTAACCGTCGTAGCCCTTCGGTGGTGCCAGTGGGATTGGGCCGAGTCTTCGTCGATCTGCAGGTAAGTTGTGGGCAGTTGGTGAAGAGCCTGAAGGGGACGCCAACAGCACGGAGTCGTTGCAGGAGATCCTGAACCAGGCGATGTGTTCTGCTCTTTTTTCAGATACTTAAAGATTTGACACGGCGCGACTGCAACTTCTTTTCAATTACCAAGCGACGTCACTGGTTCGTAATGTCAACAGAATTGGCATTCTTGTATGATTTCATGCCCTGAGATTCTTGCTTTTTGTGCTCAAAAAGCATTGAAGGTCATGAAGATATCTGGGAGAATCCGCCCTTCCATGATGACTTAACAGTTGGGACTCGAAGAAGCTGAGAATCCAAGCGGGGTCCTGCTTGGTCATGTTCTATTTGCCAACTGGCTGCGGCTCAAAAACGATTCAACTAGTAATTAAGGCCCCACAAGATCTTGTGGCACACCTGCGCATGCCCAGCATCCTTCAGGTGGATCTGGGCCCTGTCGGCCACTTCGACAGTATGAAATCCCTGGTGGCAGCGGCCCGGCTCCTTGTTCAAGCGAAGATTGCAGGAGGAGACACCACGACGTCGAGTCGTCGCGTGAACAGACCCGAAGACCGGTTGGGTTGGGTTGTCTAAGGCAAGGCATGGTCTGAAGCCTTTGGTTGCCGTTTCAGATGGTTGAGGATCGCCTATTTGTGCTTTTGGTTCCAGCAATCAGCGACATATCATGGCTATGTTGTAGATGTACCATTTTTGCATAGAAGAGACAATAGCAGGGAGTGCACAAAGGGTTCACTGGCGCCATTCCTGACAAGCTTAGAGGGACTGGATGCCGATGGCTTGGATGATTCGATGATTCCCAGACACTCCATGTATGGCATATATAAATCCCTACATTGACCCCTGGAACCACCCCAACGTAGGAAAATATGGCATACATGGAGTGTTTGGGATTAGGATTTCTCCCGACGTCTTCGGGGAAGCATTTGCTCCCTGCCGAGCCTCGCAGTCTTTTTTCGCGGAAGAGCAGTGGTGAGGACGACCTCTGACAACCTCTGAACCCCCCGTTGGAGCAACATGTTGCTTTTAAACTCAACCACACAAGAGCAATGGGCAGAAATTCCGGACCAAACAAGAACTGGCTGTTCCAGGGTGGGGTAGCTGGGCGTCAGGAGCTCCTGCCGACAGTGCGAATGGCGCTTTGGCGCTCTACGTCTTGACGCTCTTGGATGCGAAAGCACGAGAGCGGATCAACCAGAAGTGGCAGTCTGAGGCGCTGGGCCAGAAGACACGTCGTCAGACACGTTCATGAGAACGATAGTATCTTTGGGGGGAATTACCATGCAGGTGGGAGGTCTGAAACCAAACTCCGCGACGAGCATTTGACTCCGAAATCTTACCTCGCTCACCCCACTTGGCCATTTCGTTGCAACAGCCCCCCCCCGCCCTTTCCTGGAAAGCCTGCCACCGCAATGAGTTCCCGAACGTGGCTTCTACCAGCCTAGCCAATGGCTACGCCCGCGGAGCGTCACACGGCGCGCCAGGTCTGGGCGAAAACGTTGCTGAGCTCCTCGGGCCTGGCGTGGCAACAACTCCCCGCCGAGCGTTCCGCGCCTCGCTTTCGACCGACGTGGAGCAACGACGTCGGAAGAACAGCGGACGTCGCGTCTTTCGTTCTGGTTGATGTGAGTGTGGAGTGGAGTGGTTTAAGCAAGGTTTGGCCTTTCAACTTCAGTCTGATGTCTAAAGTGTTCAAAACGTTTACTGAAGCTAAAAAAGCAAGAGTTGTGACAGTTCTACTCTTCCAAAGACCCAAGGAAGCAAGAGCTTGTAAACGTTTTTTTCAAGACCCTGGACGCAAAGTGGATTATATATACGCTATACTGGCATTGAAGGAAGTGGATGATAGTTGTGACACGGGTCCACGGACATGCAGACACCAGAAAACTACGCAGTTGTCACGCTCTTCGCCTGCAATCGTGTTGGATCCTGTTAGATCTCGTGATCTAGGTCTTACTCAACAACAAGAACTGTGCAATACGTGGAGTAAAATAAGTGACCCTCCCTGCAATTTCCCCATGGTTTCGTGGAGTAAAAGCCGCTGGAAAGACCATGGAATCCAAACAACAAAAACAGGGGTCATCCACTTCAATCAATGCATATCAATGCATGTATTTTGTCTTGTTTGGAGGCAGGGTCAACTCCATGTCCAGTTTGCACTTGCCTACCAGGACAAAAACGGTCGGCAGATGACCCCTCCACTAAAAAATTGATTGGAGGGGTGACCCACGAATTAACTTTTATCAATTAATTGTGTTTTTCTCCGAAAATCTATCAACAATCTTAAGTCGGATAAAACATATATTAATTGGCATCGTCCCGGTGTACCTTGGATCAAGCTATAGTCATGTCTACTTGAGAAATAATCAAAAGGTGGTGGAGAGGTCGCACACCCCCCTCAATTAATTATCACAGAGGGTAGGGTCGGGGCAAGCGAGAGAGAGAGAGAGGAACCAAAGTAACTAAGGACGTCGATGCGAGTTTAAGAATATTCAGGGTCTAACTATTGTTCTATTTCATGTCGGCAGCGTACCCCCTTAAACCCCCTTCACTTCTTTTCGGTGGTATTCATAGACACGCCCAAACCGAGGGCCTGGTATAGGTTCCTGAGCCCATCCGCATGTTCTGTTCCTCTCATCGACCTAGGTCGTCTTCCGGGCGGTTCGACTGGAAGGAGACCTTTCATCCTACAGGACAGGGTGACCAGCAGGGGGGGTCAAAAGCAGGTGAAAACCATCGAAAACCAGGATCATCCGTGATTTGATTTTCCGTCCGCTACGAACGTAACAAGAAGCTACTAGTGGCTCCTGGCATCGCTACGAACGGAGCGATCGGACGCTACGAACGGGGCTCCTGGCCGCTCCTACGAACGGAGCATTCGGACGCTACGAACGCAACAAGAGGACGCTACGACCTTTTAAGCATCCCCCGGCACCAGGCCCAGCCGGTGTCATAAGATGCCCCCTTAGAGGCTGAAGTGGCCCAAAAAATTGGAAGCCAAAATGGAACCAGTCTGTAGGCTATAGTGAATTGATGTGAATTGCTTTGGCAGATGGATTTTGTGTTGGGAACCCAGCTGCTTGGTGGTGGAATGTATGCTTTACGTGCTTTACAATGCTTTTGGCTTTTGTTGAAGGTTCTCTCGGTGTTTGTCTGTGTGTGTGTGTGTTTTTCTAATGCAATCCTTTTTGGAGGGGTGTTTTGCGTGAACTGAGGGTGAAGCATAGTGGCTTAGCGATGTCAGCTTGGGTCATCTTCTTTTCCACTTCTTCCTGGAGTCTCAGTACCGAAGAAAATGGACACAAGGACCTGTTTTATATCAGGGTAATTAATTACTTGAAGTCGGGTCCAGGTTTGGACTAGTCAAGTCAAGTCAAGTCTTGACTTGCACGAGTCAGGTCGCCAGACTGTGCTCATTGAACATGATTCAACCTGCAAGAGCAGCATGTTATTTGCCCATGGGGTTGGATCCCGTAAAAAAAAAATACAATTCTGTTCCTCGATGGAAGTATTGAGTCTTGAGGGTTGATTCATGTCAATTGCGATGAAAATAAAAGGCACACCTCAACCCTCACAGGCCCGGAGAAAAAAGAAAAATGGTGCATTTTCTTGATGCTTGGGGTAGAGGAAAGCACATTCTTGTTTGTTTCAATAGTTTATCCTCCCCACTGGAGTTGGTCATACGTTCGTTCACACGACTCAAGGGGGTGTTTTAATTGGTTTAATTGGGTCCAAATAGACCTGAAGGGCTCCGTTTCCCTCTGAACCGTCATCATCCACTGGGTTTTTCGGGCACAAGGGATACATGATGCATCCAAGAAAAAATGGTTCTGAGCTTCATGCAACTGCTTCTTGCAAGCAGTGCAAAACTCCATGTTCATTTATATGGGGGTGGGTCAAAGCCGAGGTACCCTGGTTGACCAGAGAAGGTGAACAGAATAGACAACCTACCAGGGTGCACAGGGTTCCGTGTCTTGACCCACCAGCCATATCCACACCTTGAAATCAAGAGTTCCCTGCCGCACGTTGACCTCGTCCAAGAACCATAGAAGCCGTGTCACGGTTTCTCACCCAAAACCCAGTTCTCCACCTTTCTCACACCTCTCTCCACAGATGTTGGTTTCAAAAAGGCATCGAAAAAACACCAACCGCCCTCGTTGACCCGCCCTGATCCGGTCTGCTCTACCCACCAAAAAGGGATCAGCAAAGCCTTTTGGGGTGGCTGGGGGACATAAACCAACTACCTGGACCCTCCCAGGGGTGGAGATCCGCAAACTGATCAAGTATTGTGTAGCCATGTGTAGCCCCAAAATTCTAACCACCATTCAGTTGATAGGCTGTACCATTGTGGCACCGTGATGAGGGTGGAGGCATGGATTAGGTAGAGCATGTTTCGATGGGTTTCGTGGAGTGAAGACCACTGGTTTGGTCAGACCGGTCTAAACCAAGTCTTCGGAGCCGACCATGACCATCCACGTAGGCCCACCATGGTCTTCCGTGTGACACAGTCATCCCTTCCCTCATTCCTCCGTTCACCCCCCCTGTTGGTAGAAGAACATCATGAAACCTTTTGTCTTTCCATCTTCCATGGAGCTTCCCATGTCAAATCACATCGTCCACGTGACCACCACCACCAGCACCACCAGCATCATCCTTTCATGAACCCCATCCTCCAGGGAGCTCCAACTCGGTTCCCGATGACCTTTGCCGCAGTTCTCGCTCGTATCGCCCGGTCGTCGCTGCGCACGTCGCCTCGTTGCCCCGTCGGTCGGAGGCGTCCCTTGGAGCTCTTCGCTCCACGGCGCCCCGTGAGCTGGCCATGCCCCAGCTACGGCACACTGGATCGGCGTGTGGCCATGGCCGCTTAACAGCCAAACGCGGTTGAGGAAAGGCTCTTAAGACAGGGAAAGACGTTAAGATCTGGAAGATCGTTCGTTGGCCCTAGCCAATGTGTTGGTCAAGGTGATCTTACAGGTGTTCTTTTATCCAACACCCTTGGTCCAGTCAAGATTGTTTAAGTTTTTGGGGGCTTCAACTGGTCGACGCGGGAGGAAAGAGTTGTTTTATGCCCAGCCACATGGGATCACATGGGCCACATCGGCCACTTCACTCTTCACTGGTGGTTTCGATTGATCTCTAGGTCGCCTAGGTGGTTCGCTTGGTCCTCCTTCCTGAGGCTTACCTCGAAGATTGGAAAGATGCGGCCGGGCGACGCAGGAAAAACGGCGGGCCACCACACCAAGGTCAGTTCCATTCGTGACCACTTTTTAAGTGGTGAAGTCATGTCAGTCTGTAACCGGGGCAGATGTTGGAAGGTTAAATCATGTTAAATCCGGTCTTGGGTTTTCTCTGTGCATGTGCCAAAAAACATCCAAGAACCATGAACAATGTTTTTAATTTGGTGGAATAGTCCAGAAGGCATCTTTACCTGGATAGAAGCCATCCACAGTTTTGCAGCCACATCTGCACACTTCTACGATGGACCGTGGACTCATTTCGAGCTAGATCCAGTTGTAGAAGCTGAAAAGGTAAGAACTGGCGATCGGGTCGATTTCGGTTGCGATTGGTCGACTTGAGTTACTTTCTGTTACTTTACTTAGGGACTTGAGTTACTTGTTGTTTTTTCCTCGATTCATCGATGTCTGACCATGAAACCTTCGCACTTGAGGCCGCTGGGTCGCCCAGTCGGGTTGCACTGAGCTGCGCCAGTTCCCCATCAAAGACCGAAAACGTCGAATTCTCGGGCCCTGAAACGGTGGGTCGCTGCGTCGCTGGCTCGGTTTGGGTGATGCATGATCCACTGATTATCACATCCGTTCGACGTTGGTCCACGGCACGTAGCACGCCAGCTGTCGCCCGACCTCGGATCCACGAACCGGTGGTATACGGTATCACACAGCTTCACCTGCCACGCCGATCTAGGCCATTGTGTTCAAGATCTACTGCTTGACGGCTCGGAGGAGTCACGTATAGTCACGGAGAGGTCGGTGGAAGTGGGTTTGGGCTCCTCAGGTGAGATTGTTTCCCCAAACAGTGTGGACACACGGTGTGGGGTTCTTACGTTAAGGGTTAGACCTCACACACCGTTTGGGGGTTCTTGCCGGGATAATTACATTTTCCGAACTGGGTGAATCCTCTTCTGGTGAATTGGTTTTCCCCGGCTCCTGGAGCAGCAAATCCAAGTCACGTGTGTGAGTGTGTGTGCGCTGATGTGCGCACGGGGGACCGTGGGGCTTGTATGATGGGATCCAAAACAGACTCTTGCGCAGTAGAAGGAGACTCTGTGGAATTAAAGATCATCCTGAAAAAATCAAGTAATAACATCTAATAACCATCAATCATCGCTTAGGGTCCAGAAGGTCAAATCAGGTCGAAGCTTGATGAATAGAGAGGAAGGCTTCGATTAACACAGTAACAGCGGTGCGATCACAAACTGGGTGTTGATCACATACAACGGTGCGATGGTTCCTCCCATCTACAGCTGGGTGTTGGCTCGTTGGGTTGGCTCGTTGGTCACATCACCAGCTTGGCCCATGTCCAGAGGAACTGGTGTGAGTTTCCACGGTGCAACGGGTGTGCTCCCTCGGCCAAATCATGGGTTCCTACAGATTCAACGATCCAGTAAAACCTGGTCCTTGGCGATTCATATGACCAGCACCACCAGTCAAATGAGATCAGTTCCTTCCCTGGCCTCGGAGGAGGAACCCTCCCATACTCACCACCCCAATGATACCGACCTTTTGGCCCTCGACGATCGTGCGCTTGACCGACTGAAGTTTGGAAATTCATCCGAGTCACTGGGTCTAGTCAGATCATCTCAGGAAAAATGCACGCCTGGGATGGACCTGGGAGCATGTTTCCAGCGAGTCTGTGTGAATTTCTTGACCACCACCCATGGGTTCTTCCTGACTTGCCGAAGAGGCAGTGAATGGCATTGGATAAAGTGGATGAGGTGATCTCAATGGAAAATCCACCAAGTCATCGCATTCAACCCAGCCAACCAGCCAGCCACACACTACCCATCCAACATGTGTTTCTTTTGGCCGTTTGTGATATCATTCGTGCGCCTCATGAACAGCTTTCTTGGAAGTGATGTTCAGAGCTGTAAGATCTAGAATCCATGTGTTGTGGCTGTCAAAATGGAGCATGCCCGATCCAGTAATTAAAACCCATGGCGTGCTGATTGGATTCAGACCTCACGAATTGCTGGTGATCAATTCCACAAGCAGGTGTACTCCTTGGTTGCCCTTCGGGTTGAGGCCCTGCTTCAAAACAAGCGCGCAGTTGCTTCCACGACTCCCGGACAAGCTGGGATGGTTGGACTGCTTGGACCCCCCCTTGCCGGTGCGCCACCGCGTTCCACCGCGAGACCTCCGGACCGCGCGAGACGGGCCACGCAGGATCAACGAATTCTCCTGGTTGGCTGGAGAAGATCAGAGCTCGGTGTGGTGCTGAGACCAGGAGAAGACCACAGGAGCGAGGAAATCAGGACCCAACCTCCGCGGTTCGTGACCTTTTTGTAGCAACATGTAGCAACTAAACCTGTTACAGGCCTGAGTAAGTGACTTCAAACCATGGAGATCAAAAGGTCAAATTGAGAAATCATGGTACATTTGTAATAGTTTTTGTTTAGTGACAGACTCTGAGGTTACAAGATGGGCTGCTAGGACCAATCACTTGCTTGCAGGAACAAAAATCAATAGCCGAATGAAGCGAAATCCGAGACCTTCGCTATCCTCAATGCCGTGCTTCTCAGGACAAGTCCCACAAAATCGATGAAACAGCTTAGAGATCTTTCAGGGGAAACGACTGATTCGATTCCAGTGTTTGGACAAACCTTTTGGACTTTTTGTCCAAAGTGGCCAAGCTGCAACTTGCAAATCCTCGATTTTGGGGTTGCTCCATGTTGCTCCTATCTATGTTAGCGGGTGTGGTGCTAAAGTGCCACCAGTTCCAAGCTTTCCAAGCACTTTTCGAGGCCCTACATGAGTCGCTGATTGCTCCTGGTACCCAGTTCGAGGCGCAGACTGTGTGAAGGGCTGAAGATGTGTGTGGAAAATGGAAGACCCTGAAATTCCAACACCCGTGAACCGTGAGGAATCATACATACCATGCTGTACTATCAGCTTACATACCAATGAACAATCGTTCATACCAATATTTGATAGAAGATCGATGAACATACCCATCAACGGTCCCAAACCGTGAGGACAGTGACCAGGACGGAGGAGAGTATCGGAAACACTTGCCGGCAAGGAAGGAGGTTGTGCCAACAGGCCTCGAATGTTCTGATGTTTGGTATTTTGGTCATTTACGAGGTGCGTCTTTTTTTGCAGACTCACCGGGGCGTCGGCAGTGTAGGCTGTGCTTAGATTGAGTTTAGACCTACCAAAGATCCCTTCTCAATATCCAACAAATGATCTAGCTCAAAACTGCGGGGGGGAGGTGGGGAGCGGGCTCAGCCAGCAGTCCAACATAGTCCAACTAAACCTCACTGTCTAGACCTGCCCGGTCACCTGGGCGTTGGCAGTTTGCTCTGTTTTCAAACCGGAGGACCGGTGCGCTGCTGCGGGATGGGTGTTCCGGTCCGCTCCCCTCCGGTCAGTCCAGCGGCCTCTTCGAGCTCACAGACATGGCGCTGCGCCACTGGACCGCGACTGGAGCACATCGACATGTCCTTGCCAAGACGGGAAGAGATGAGACATGAGAAGTGTGCACGGGTATCATAGTAGGTATCATGCACGTATGTTCAGGTTCAGGCATGAGGAATTGGGGAGCTGTGCCCACTTTTGGAGGGAAGTGATCACCAAAACCACCGTTCCTGGCCCAAACAAAAAACCCTTCTAAAGCAGTGTGCCCCAAGCACCGTGAAACCTTCCGGATGTTCCGGCTTCTGAGGTCGGGATGTGACTATGGATGCCACGCTGCGCGGGGAAGAGTTCAATCTCCAAGAAGAGGTGCTGAACGTGCCAAGAGCTGTGTGTGGCGCCGACGACGGAAACGCCTTCCGGCGAACGAGCTGAGTACGTGATGGAAGATCGGACTTCAGTGCATAAACATGGGCGAACCTGATCAAATCATTTCCGGGAGGATCTCGTCAATGGATGCCGTAGTTTTGCCACATCCAGGTAGCTGAACGTGCAATTCGCCAAAAGTCCGAAGGTCTCGCGAGGAGTCCTTTCGCGAACCAAACACCGACAGGTTCAGTTGTTGCCCTTGGCCACCAGTGATTTGCCAGCGCGGCGGGTCCTTGTGATTCTGCAGGAGGCGGGTTGGGCACTAGGGCTGCCGACGGGTTGGGTGGTCCCGTGTTGCCTTGTGCGGCGGATCTGGAGAGATCTGGACTGGGCACATGACCAAGGGATCAGGGGCTTGTGGTTACACAGACTCGAATTAGAGTGGTCAGTGGTCAACAAAGAGATGGAAAACTCCTCGTGTCCTTATGGAATCTCTCAGAATTCCCAATTCTCTGAACCTTCGCATGATCAGGTAGTTCCTGCTGAAGATCTTCGAAAGGCGGCTGAGAACGCATCGGCCACTGTCCGCAACAAGAAGACGGCCAGCTATCTTTGACGCGGTGTGCCATTGTGATCATATTGAACAAGATCATACTAGGACAGTTACTAGGACCGGCATTCAAGCATGAAGATTGACAGTAAGATTGGTGTCTCATTCTAACCCATGACCAAATAAAGCATCAACGAATTATCTGCACAGTTCAACCTGAAGCATCCTCAATATCAGATCGATTGTATAAATTAACAGGAATCCAAAATGGATTCTGAAAAATAGAGCACAAATAAACAATTACTATATATATATATATATATACAGATCTATCTACATATCTACATAAGTTACAGGGCTGCGTTATTGTATTTAGCGATGAGGATATGATGGTGTTTTTGTTGGTGTGGTGTTGAATGCTCTTTGGCTGTTAGAAAAGAAAAAATAAGTTCTTTTTAAGTCGTTGTTTGCTGGTCTCCTTTTCTTGTCCTCGGCAATTAGACGTTTCCTTTGCACATTTCTCTACCTCAAGGACAAGACGGCGCCTCCTGAGCCATGTTGGTTCCTACCTGAACCTGATCGTTAAATATTGTTTTAGACTTCGTTTAGTGCAGATTCTCTAAATATGAAACTTGCATCCAATAAGCGTTTAATAACCATACAAGCACTTGTGTTAAGTCGTTTGGTCTTGTAGAAAGTCGTTTGGATGTTACGTTTCGATTGGGGTTAGATGTAAGATGACAATATAATTGA